TTGCCAATGTTTGCATCAATAATACCGTTCAGTGTAACATTTGAAGACCACGAACAAAATCAGAAACTAGTAATAACACAATCTAGATATGAGAACTTTGAACATGACTTTCTTCAACTAAATCAGAATATTCTTTGTGCGTGGAGAGTGTTTGTTCTTAGTGTCAGCTATTGTCTTTTATTTTCTCAACTATTATCAAGGGCAATTATGTTGTGTTCAGTCGGATCAGAAGGTGGTTTTTTATCACACGTGAATGGATTTTTGCAAATAACTATATGTTTCTTCATGTTTCTGGTACAACTTAGTATATCCTCGCAACTGCTAGTTTACCACCTAAAAGACACCAGCGACGTAAATTTATGCAGAAACATATTTGATAGTGACTATTATTTGACTGCTATATCTTATAATGTGTTTTTATTGATATCATTATTAATAATCACGCCTTTTGTATACCGTTCTCAAAGAAACTACATGGAAGGAATGCTAATGACAGTAGCTTCATATATTATAGCCATAGCATGGTTTGTATGGATATTAATTTCAGTGTTGTTCAGTTCTGGTAGTACATGCAAAGAAGCTTCAGTGCCTTTAGGTCTCGTGTCGACAGCTTGGATCGTTTTAGGAGGCATTTTGGTACCAAGAAGTTATCTTATAGTTCGAGGGATTGCCAGGAGTGATTTGGTACAGGCTTTGCCTTCACTGACTTCCATATCATTTGCACCACGATCAAATCACTATATCTCCAGGCAGGTATGATGGAAATAATGCACACTTTATTTTTAAATTTTGAATGTTATAAACTAGCAATTCATTAATTAGAGATTTCATAATTCCATCAAACTGTTAGAGCAAAAGGTTGACGAGAGTATTACTTTGTTTTACTTTTTTTTCATAACAATTTGAAATAATATTTTCTAAATTACAAAAACGAAGTAACCCACCAGACTCATATTTTTTTAGAATTTTTTGATAGATTTTTAAAAATTAACACAGTTAATTAAATATGTACTTAGGTAATTAATTAATTGTTAGTTGAATTTTTTTTCATAAATGGTTTTGAAACATAATAACGCACACTTTATTTTTAAATTTTAAATATTTTAAACTAGCAACTCATTAATTAGAGATTTCATGTTTTCTGTTAGAGGAAAACGTTGACGAGAGTATTACTTTGTTTTACTATATTTTGTTCATAATAATCTGAAATATGTTTTAAATTACGAAAAAGAAGTAAACCACAAGACTTATATTTTTTACGAATATTGAAGTTTTTTTTAAAATTAACATAGTTAATTAAATATGCTCCTAGGTAATTAATTATTTGTTCGTTAAAAAAATCTTTCTATAAATGACGGGTTATATTTATGGTTAAACTGTTTGTTTATATGCTACGTTCGTTGGTTTATATGCTACGATTAATTAAATCATTTTATTTTTAAACCCAAATTGTAAAAAGTCCACGCTTCTTGGAATACAATATAATTAATGTTTAATAACCTTATAATTTGCGCAATTTTAAACTACTTTCGACGTTTTGATAATAAATTTGTATATTTAGTGATTACCTTTTTAAGGTATGAAATAATAATAGCGTTTGAATCATAATTCTATTAAATATTAATAATATTAAAAGCGTTTTGAGTCATAATAATATAATTTAGTGCTGACGCTAGTAAAACGCTTTTATCACTATAATTTATTACTACATTATTATAAAGAGTTTTTATGGTTGTCAGGAAAGTAATTTTTAATTTAAAATTTAATAGTTTTTTTTAATTAAAATCTGTCACACTTAGGACATTCAGTAATTGTTTTGACTTTATTATATGAATTTTTTGAATGGATGGCAACCCAGTAATTGCCCAATCCAATTAAAACTAATTAACTATACTCGAAGTATTTGTTGACATTTTTATTAAAATTTAATAGAAATATCCACGATTTTTTAAATCGATTTAGAATATTTATTACAGTGAATTTTACAATGTACATGTTGGTAGTACATAAATTTTCTACCAATGGCACTTTACTTTTACAAAAAGCTTTCATATATGACTAGATAAATAATTAATTAATTGAATATAACGTAATATATTTAATAGTTTGTGATCATACGTCAGTATCTTGCAATGCAATAGCCGATTAATTAATAAAGTTTCTTTTGTTAAATTAAAAAAAAAGATTTTAAGTAACAATTTATCTCGAAACAATGATTTACATCTTATTACATCACATTTTTCAATTACTCTGTCACTAATTTTATCATTTTTCAATACCAGACAATCTACGATTGCGTAAATCCTGCCATGCTCCAACGATCTGTGTTTCCTGCTTCCGAGTTGCCAACGCTGCCAATGCGTCCACCTAGAAGGATGCAGCACGAGATGATCGAAGGGCATGCTCCTTACGATACGCCGCCAAGGTCGCCAACGCTCATGAATGGACGAGGGCTGGACGATGGTGGTAAAATTACTAGGTTTTGAGGAAATAACTTTCATATAGAAAATAGCTTATACGTTTTGTTAAGTTAAGTACACTATGATACAGTGGTTCCCCGACTTACGAGCGCCAAATTTTGAGATACGAGAGAGTTCGCGTTTTTTGATTTTTGTACATTTACAAAATATTATGTACTTTTATATCCATGTGTCTACAGAAAAAGCAATGTCTTTTGAAAAAAAGCGTGAAATTATTGAAAAATATGAAAATGGCTATGATGTACGAGCATAACTCTTCATAGATAGGTAATAGATTTGTACTGCTACTCATTTCCGCAATATCATGAATAATAATAATAATAATAATAATAATAACGGGTAGTACTGCCGTAGGGCAGGTCTGTGAGCTGAGTTAAACTCGATCTCGATTCAGGAAAGAAGTTTTTAATACTAAAAACAACATAGTGCTGGTTCGAATTAATGGCCCTTAAATGTATTTATATAGAAAAAATGCTTTGAGATACAAGTGATTTGACAAACTAGCGTGGTTACAAAATGAATTTAACTAGTATGTCGGAGTACCACTGTAATTGGACATTTCCTATTAGATTTCAAGATTTTTCAAACTTTATGATTATTTTGTAAATGGATTTAGTTTAAGTGCGTTTTCTAACTGATGTTGAGTTACTATAATAACAGTAATGTATATTTTATAATATATTTAATTTTTAACTGCAGAATGCAACTAATTATAAGATGTAACTTCCAAGAAAGATATATTGTATATTGACTTACAGTCCCGCATTTAAAATTTGTAATAGGACTTGCACATATTAATGTATACTGTTTATTTAAATAGTAGTAATTAAGTATTATCTTATATAATAATATATTTTAGTTGTATAATATTCCAAAGTTTTCACATATATTTTAATAGCTATATTTTGAAATGCTCAATAATTATTTTTTATGCAATTCTTATTTTATAATTTTGATTTAAATAATGCACTGTTATAATTTCAAAATATTGTACTGATGCCTTCTGAAACACCAATATAAATAGATTTACTAAGTATATAGAAAATTCGACGATTCTAGAAATAAATTGTATTAACTTTTATAACCTAGTCACATAACACGACAATAGCCTAGTCATTTACTTCGTTTTAGTCAATTATTTAGTGCTCAATCTAATGTGTAAATATATTATTAAAGTTATATCAGTATTGAACGAATAATTCGTGCAATGAAATTTTATAATTGTTATAACAAAGTGAATCATTAGTTGTTTTGTTAATCCATTGCAATAGATTAAAGCATCAATATGTTGGGAAAAAATTGTTTGTAAAATACACATGGTAATAAAATTCTTATAATAACACTTGATATAATATGTTTTATTTATTACTAATTCTTTAATCAAATATTAAAATATAATCAAGTAATTTAATTAAAATTAATGATCAGTATATGCTGATATTGAATAGTTTATGCACAATTTGTAATATTTTAAGCATGATCGAAGAAAATGATTTAAAATTAACAATGGTTTTAAGATAAGTTCATGTATAACATAATTACTTCATTAATGTAATTTACTTCATATTGTATATTTCAATAATAATATTTTTAACTTCCCGTAGGGTAAGTTATTGTAATGGGCCGAAAATCGGAATTGAAAATTTTTACATTTCTCGACGTTTTGAAGGTTTCTGAACATTTTGGCATGCCTCAGAAAAAATGGATGTGTGTGTGTGTGTGTGTGTATGTGTGTGTGTGTGTATGTATGTGTGGATACAAATTTCCAGTCACGTTTTAGGGCGCACGGATCAACCGATTTGAATGGTTCAAAAAACATTCGATTCCTATTGATAGGGAAAAGAGCTGATTAGTTTTTGGCAAAGGCAGGTCCAGCCGTTTCGGAGATACGGAGCAAAGATTGCGGAAAATAGAAATCGAATTTTTGAGAGAACGGAGTATCCGATTTGAATGATCTAAAAAACATTCAATTAGTAATGATTGGGAGAAGTGTTTATTAGTTTTTGGCAAAGGCAGGCCCAGCCATTTCGAAGATACGGAGCTAAATATGTAAAAAATGGCAGTTTTTGAGAGAACTAAGCGTCCGATTTGAATGATTCAAAAAACTTTCTGCTTGTCTTAACAAAATAATTGATTTTGGAGAAAAAAATTTTTGTTCGATTTTTTTTTTTTTTTTTAGTTTTTTGTTGAAACAAATAATTTCAACTTTGCAATTCAGTTTATATAATTCTTATAAATATTAGACAATGTTACAATATTTATAATAATCTATTTGAAAACATTCAGTATTCCTCGAACATTTCGTTACGGTACGGGAAGTTCCAGCAATTTGCCTTAAGGCACGATGCCACCCACCCCACTAGTTTCATATAATAATTATCATTTGAAATACAATTTAAAAAGTAACTGATTATTTTTTGTTTATCAGTTGGTAACATTTTCATGTGAACTTGTTTCATCGCCTAATGTTACTCACTTGCTATTTGACAGTTCTTGACGTTTTGCATTATGCTAACCAAAAATACGTAATTCATTAACGAAATTTTAATATTTTATTTTTATAATATTTTATTATGGATGATAAAGATATCCATCGATTAGAAGCCTCAGAAAATATTCAAGGTGGTTTAGTGATAACGAAAAAGAAGCCTGATACATTTAAAGTGCCCCAAGTTTCAAAATTAGGTTTAGATAAACTCGCTGCTAGTAAGAGGCTAGAAAAAGAATTACGATCTCGATTATCATTTGATGAGCGAGATAAAGATGACGAAGAAGCCACCGGCTCTAATTCTGCAAAAGACAATAAAGAACAGTCTAAATTATCCAAAAATTTTAGACAACCTCATATAGAAACTCCAACGCACACAGGGGGTCTATCAGACAAGGCCAGAGAAAAGTATTTATTATTTATATAAGACGTAATAATTAAGATTTTTTTATATTGTTTAAATAATTTGCTCAATATTTAATTCTTGTTTTTAAAAACAGGTTAGAACACCATAAATATAATGACAGAAGCCACAAAGGAGTGTATGCTTCAACCAAGGATAAAGATAAAAATCGAGATAGAGACAGGAGTAAAGACCGAGATAGAGACAGATATAGTTCACGACATAGAGATTATGATAGACGTAGTTATGATAGAAAACGAGATGATAGATCAACAAGGAAACGTGATAGAGACTATTCCAGTCGGAGTGAAGGCACACCTAGGTTTGTTGAACAAAGAAATATGTCATCAACTTTAATTAAAACATGCCCAAATACTAAATTCTATATTATCATGCTTAAATTGAGATTTTGTACGTATTATTTTCTAATGTATATTTTTATAATTTTATCAGATTCAGAGATGAACCAAGAACACCAAATATCTACCCCGAAAAGGACAGACCTGGTAAAAGTTCTTGGGAAGATGATGATGAAAAGGTACCACTACAAAGATCATCCTGGGATTTACCTACACCTAAAGTGCATATTGAACAAACAAATTTGGATAGTGTAAGAAGTAGTAAAAGAAGAAACTATAATGAGACACCTAGGCCCACACCGGCACACAGGTAATTGGGTATTTTTGAATGCAGACATATTTTATACATTTATACATATAATAATAATAAAAACTTTTTTTAATACATGACCTATCAATTTCATTAATAAGAAAGTAATAAAATCTTCATCTTTACCCCTGTCTGATTATATTAAAAACTTAATTTTATAGGTATAATACATGGGCTGCAGAGCGTAAACGTTCAGGTGCCACTCCTATGGTTGATAATTCTCCAGAAAAACCTTGGAAAACTGAAGAAGATAAAGATTTATGGGAAGAAGAACAACGTAGACTTGATCGTGAATGGTATAACATTGATGAAGGTATACAAAACACGATCAAAATGATTATAAATAATTATGTCAATAATTATTAATAATGAATCATGATTATCATATTATTATTATTATATATAATTTGCCAATGTTTTCTTGATTTATGGATGAATATGTAACAAATTTCAGGGTTTGATGAAGAAAGGAATCCTTTTGGAAGTTCTGATTATACAAATCGTAAGGAACAACAAATGGAGAAGAAAAGAAGAATGACTGCTAGACAAAGACAAATTAATCGAGATAATGAGTTGTGGGAACGTAATCGTATGTTAACTTCTGGTGTTGTTATGACCACTAATGTAAATGAAGATTTCGATGAGGTATGACATTATAATTTATTATTTTATATGAATTATGTCTTTTATTCTATAGATTTAATTTATGTATGTTTCTGCTTTAGGAAACCATAGACAGAGTCCATTTATTAGTGCATCATATAGTGCCTCCATTTTTGGATGGAAGAATGGTTTTTACAAGGCAGCCAGATCCAGTTGTGCCTGTTAGAGATCCTGGGTCAGACATGGCACTCACAGCTCGCAAGGGCAGTGCTTTAGTAAGGGTATATCGAGAACAAAAAGAGCGAAGAAAAGCCCAGAAAAAACATTGGGAACTCGGTGGAACCACAATAGGTATTTTATAATAAATACCGAATCTATCATTTTTATTCCTTTTTGTTATCAAAATATTCAAAAAGTTAATGAGTTTGATACTTATTCTTGCTCTTTTTATCTAATTCAATATAATTTATCAAACTGTGTAGATCATAGATTAAGATTTATAATTTACCTTACAGGTAATATTATGGGTATCAAAAAGGAAGAAGAAGAAGCTGATTCAAAATTAGATGCTGAAACCGATACTGCCGATTATCGGAGTGATCAGAAATTTGCTGAACACATGAAAGATCAAAAAGATACTGGAAAAAGTCATTTTTCTAAATCTAAAACTATTATTCAACAGAGAAGATATTTGCCAGTTTTTGCTGTCAGACAAGAATTATTGAATATAATTAGGGAGAATAATGTTGTGATTATTGTTGGTGAGTATTCGGAAAAATGTTTTGCATTATATGTTTTTGTGGCTTATTTTTATTTTATTTTTTATATTATTTTAGGTGAAACTGGTAGTGGAAAAACAACTCAATTAACTCAGTATTTACATGAAGAGGGTTACAGTAGATTAGGCATGATAGGTTGTACACAACCTAGACGTGTTGCTGCTATGTCTGTTGCCAAACGTGTCTCTGATGAAATGGGAACTCAACTAGGTAAATGTTAAATATTTTTTTCACATTATGACTTAGTTTTTTACTTTGAAATATTATTTTGCATTTACACATTTTGTTTCTGATGATGAATTATAATACATTATCTAATTCCTTTATTATTTTTCTTAAGGTGATGAAGTAGGTTACGCAATTCGATTTGAAGATTGCACATCAGAGAAAACAATAATAAAATACATGACTGACGGTATTTTATTGAGGGAGAGTTTAAGAGAAAGTGATCTTGATAATTATTCTGCAATTATTATGGATGAAGCTCATGAAAGATCTTTGTCTACAGATGTGCTGTTTGGACTACTATATAGCAGTATTTAATTGTATAATTGCATAATTTATTCTAAAATTAAAATTCTTTTAACATCATTTCATTTGTCTAATAGGTTAAAATTATGTAGTATCTTGTTATAATTATTAATTTGATCAAGGTATTTTATATATTACCTTCCTATAATCAATAACATTTACAATTAATCACTCTACTAACGACACCAATAAATAGGACAGCTATCATTTAAAAAAAGATAAAAATAATCTGACATTGCGTTACCCTTGTTATGCAGGAAAATATTATTTCATTGAGTGACCTTAGATGAAATTTTACATTATTTATATTTAATAATACTTTCGTATCGCGATAGAAATATTGCTGATGCAATAAATTATTTTTCTTAATCAATTTCCTAAATTGACTCATTCTAACATGATACTGTTACCAGAGTCGGATTTATCTTTGATTACTTCATCCATAATTTTCAATGTATATGAATTTTTCGTTTTCATTCGTACTTTATACTTGCAATTATTTGAAATCTTTAAATCTTTCGTTTTTTAACGGTTGGTTGCATTTTTTGTTATTTCATCTATTATCAGCAAAATAAAAATTCTATATTTGCGATCTAATTTTATTTATTTTGTGTTTAGCTTCGTTGCATTTACATTTTTGTGTAATATATAAATGCAGGAAAATTAAAAAGGCGTTGATAAATTTTAGGTAGCACATTTGTAGATGCATAAATTAACAAAAATGATTTGCGATATGCCCCTAATTGAAAGACATGTAACACATAATTATGAATCCAGATTTAACTATGGAGCAAAATTGTAATTATATTGGTGCCAATTTTTTTACAATTATATAGTCATTTTTACACCTGCCCTGAAATGAACAAGAAGTAAAACTGTAGGGAAAAAGTGGATTTAAAAATACAAAATCTTCTAATCATTGTCAGAGATTTTGAAAATTTACGTATATTTAATGTAACATGAAATTCTTTTTTAATCTTGCCCTGGTAGTGTTGTGGCGCTGTTCTCTGGAAAGTGGGTTTGAATGATCCTCAAGGTGGCTTTTGTAATTGTCTGAGTGTTTTTGTATTTCATCGTTTATTGGGCTTATGTGTTAACCAATCGGTACATACTTCGGGGTATTCAAAAAATCATTAAGTAATTAATTTTGGCGACATTGATTTGGAAGCTGATTCCTTGAAAAAATATTTTCTGTATGCTTCGAATTAGGAGACATTTATCAAATAATTAAACATTTATGCCCATCTCTGGAGCAACGCCCGGACAAAATAAGACGAAAATGTTTCAAGTTTTGTTAGGAAGGAAAGGGAGGGACAATCTTCAAGAAAAATCCGCATTACTTGGCAATATCCGAATTGATCTTCAGAGTATTTTTATAAAACAGCGTCTTGTGATTCGCACGTCACGCGATTCTATCCGCAAACCTATTGACGTCTGCTTGTTGCTCGTAAAATAGTTTTACAATCAACACGCCTAATATCGAAACAATGAAAACTATTCGAGTCAGGATATGATTGCGATTACTCAAACGGAAATGCGTATTTTGAAATTAATTAGGAGTTTTATTACTCCAGCCATATAGCTATAAAAAATAGAAAATTTTATATAATTATCAAACTGCGCAATAAAATGCGAATCGATAGTACGAACAATTCTACAATCGGTTACAATTTTTTGAGATTAGAATGCATCGTAATTTTCGTGAAACATAATAATAAATACTTTGATCCGAATGCCTTGCTTATGAGTAATAGATTATCTTAATCTGAATCTTTAGGGAAATTTCCAATCTATATGTGATCATATTTCAATGTACAAACATTTAAATGATACTTAGTTATGGATTAAGTACGTACATTGAGTAAATAATTCATATTTACAAACAGTTTTCCAAATATTGATATAAAAATAGAGTCCCTGTATTTCCCTTTAGTTAACGCTAATCAAGAGCTAATGTAAACTAAAACTTTATCATATCACGACTTTCAAAGAAAAGTTTTATTTTAAAGATCCAATTGTAAATGTGGAAAATCTACGAGCTGTAGTACATAGTTAAAACAAACAATTTGTGCAAATATTAAAAATAAAATGGAACTTCTTTAGTGTAATGTTAATCAAGAACTAAGATAACTTTCTCATATCAAGTTTTACTTTAAAGATCTAAGCATTGAAGATCGAAGATAAATAATCCTTAATTATAAACTAAATGATTTACGTACTTTTGAATAAATAATTCTTATAACAAACATTTTTTGCAAAAAATAAAATAATAATGGAATTTCTTCCGTATAATGCTAATCAAGAACTAAGAGAACTTTCTCATATCAAGTTTTACAGTAAAGATCTAATTTAATTATAAATTAAATGATTTACGTACTTTTGAATAAATAATCCATATAACAAACATTTTGTGCAAAAAATAAAATAATAATGGAATTTCTTCAGTTTAATGCTAATCAAGAACTAAGAGAACTTTCTTATATCAAGTTTTACAGTAAAGATGTAATTCAATTATAAATTAAAATATTTACGTTCTTTTGAGTAAATAATCCATATAACTAACAGTTCGTGCAAAAAATAAAATAATAATGGCTTTTCTTCAGTATAATGCTAATCAAGAACTAAGAGAACTTTCTCATATCAAGTTTTACAGTAAAGATCTAATTTAATTATAAATTAAATGATTTACGTACTTTTAAGTAAATAATCCATATAACAAACAGTTTGCGCAAAAAATAAAATAAAAATGGAATTTCTTCAGCATAATGCTAGTCAACTTAATCATATATCATATGGCTTTAATTTTTACAACAATTTTACTCTGAAGATCTAAGTGTTGAAGATCTAATAGAAGATTTTAATTTTTTTCATCTTAGTTTCCTACGAATATCGTTGAAATTATTGGTGATCGCTGTATTTTGGTTTTCATATAAATTATATTTTTGTGAATATTTTTATATAAATTATAAAACCTGAATTATATTTTATAAGTTCATTATCCTGAAACATAAACTTGTATATGGTAAGGCGTGAAAAATTCAAAATTATAACGAACCACTTTCTGCGCATATCCAATGACTTGATATAATATAATTAGCGCAAAATGAATTTATATTCTTTTCTCTAAACGTATTTTTTCACAATGTAATTCATTTTATAAACACATTCTAATTTTGGAGAGTTTCAAAAATTGTATGGCATGTCTGTCAACTTTCAAAATTATTTTTATTAACAAAAATTAAGCTTTTTTAATATATTGGATCTAATTGAAATTATTTTTTAACAAAGATTACGATATTTCTAGCTTTATTAAAAATTGCATTTTATTAAATGAAATTTATTATTTGCTTCTATTTTAGGAGCATTAACATTGCACTGTTATGTGAAATTCCAATTAATAATTATTTAGAATTTATAATTAAACAAAGTAAATAACTAGTTTCATGAAATTTTATTTGCATAATATACAATATTGCAATATTTATATTCAATCATTTCTCACATAGGCACAATATACATTCTAATTTTCACAACAAAATTCACATAATACCATTTATACAAAGATCAACATTATTATTATAATACAAACTTCATATATAAAATAACTTAAACCTACATATAAATATAAATAATATAAAATAATACTTGTCTTTTAAACTCTAAGCGAAATTGTCCTCGTTTCGAGTACAATTAATCAGACTGATAATAATTTAAATATTGATACAATCTTTTTGTAAGAGGACATAGATATTGTACATTACGTATTTTGAATATTTTTAATGAATTTAAACAAAGGAATAGAATAAATTATGTTATCAAATTGAATTGGAATATTTGAGTTATGCAAATGGCAGTTTTAAAAAATATTGTAGGTAATATGAAAATTATGATAACAAATATTTAAATAACACGTTTTTAAATTATCGACGGTAAAACGATAGTAATGTTATTATTGACTAGATTCAAAAAAATACTTAAAACCTAATTGTGAATTTAAAATTTCACTTATTAGCTGATATTGATCTCTGCCTCTGATTGTTTATAATCACGAACGATGCATTCATGCTTCCCCACATAATGCACTCACTAACCTGAAAAGAAAATGAAATTTATGTTAATTTTTATATTAAACACATATCGACATTTATTAATTATGATTCTAAAGATTCTACTTTCATTATTTTTAAATTTATGAGCTTGTTATTTCTTCACTCGTGAGATTTCTTCTCAACGTGTTTTAATTTCATTTGAATACTGGATTAAAAAGTGAACAATATGAATATATTAAAGGAAATCTTTCTCATAACGATTAAAAACTAGTTTTATGTGAAATTGTAAACTAATTAAAAATTATATTTAAATGAAATGTATGAAAAAGGCAATGCGTTGCCATAGAACTTAGGTGGGGCTAATTAAAAAATGTTACTTCATATTTTACTTTCCCTAATTAGAATGAGTTGATAAAATTTTTCTTTAAAACTGACTGCATTCTTGCAAGATATTTTATAAAGATTTTACTAAATCTTAATTAAGTTCATTTTACTCACATAAAAATAAAAAAATGCAATGATTTGATAAGTTTTTCTATACAACTATAAAAACTGCATTCTTGTAAGATATTTATAAAACTACAATTACAAATGCGTTTCAAAGTTCATTTTATCCACATAAAGATTAAAAAATGTAACTACTTTTACTACTTTACTTTACGGAGCATGTTAGAATGCGTTGAAATTTTTTTTCTGTAATACGAAGTAACTGCATTCTTGTAAGATATTCTATAAAAGTTTTACAAGTGCGTTTTAAAGTCCGTTTTACTTATATACAAATTTAAAAATGTAACTATTTCTAGTTTGCCTCAAAGTTTATTTTATTCACATAAAAATTAAAAATGTAATATTTTTCTTTTCGGAGATAGAATGAGATGACGTTTTACAAAAACTCTACAATTGCGTCTCAAAGTTCATTTTACATATGTAACAGTTTTTCTTCTCGGAGTGAGTTAATATATGTTGAAAAAGAAAAACTTTATAAAAGTATGCATATTATATACTAGCAAGTTACTCTACAAAAATTCTACAAGTGCGTCCCAAAGATCATTTTACTCACATAAAATAAAAAAAAAACTTTTTTACTTTTTGGGGTGAGTTACTTTTGTGAGTACCTAAGTTAGAATGAGTTAGTTGATAGTTTTTTCCTATAAAACTACGCGAACTGCATTTTTGTAAGATATTTTTCAAAAATTGTACAAGGGCGTCTTAAAGTTCATTTTACTCACATAGGAATGAAAGAATGAGTTGGAATGAGTTAATAAATGTTTTCTATAAAACTATGAAAACTGCATTCTTCTAAGACAATTTACACAAATTCTATAAGTAAAAAATCAGATATTTTCTTTTCGGAATGAGTTAGAATGAACTACACATACCGCATTCTTGTAAGATATTTTACACAAAATATACATGTGAAAATTGCAACTATTTTACTTTTTGGAGTGAGTTAGAATTTGTTGAAATTTTTTTCTATAAAACTATGGCAATCTTGAAAGATATTTTCCACAAATTTTACAAGTAAAAAATGCAATTATTTTACTTTTCGGAGAGAACTAAATGACCCACGAAAACTGCATTCTTGTAAGATATTTTAAAAAAATTCTACAAGTACGTCTCCAAGTTCATTTTGCTCACATAATTATATGCTTGAATAAATTACCTATATAAAGTAAATTGACAAATATCATAAACTCGGAGACAGTGTTAATTAATAATAATAAATTACGTAAATAAATCGATAAAATAACATGTAAACATTTACCAACCTGTTTCTTTCTGAGGTCCTTCGGCCTGTCGCCGTGTCTGCACCACAATGAAAAATGTTTGGTATTGTGCCAATTTAATCGTTTCGTACTTTTGGCGTACTTCACCTGAAAATAAACAAAACAACCACATTAATATCAACATTTTTATTCATTTATCCGAATTAAACCACTTGTTCAAATATTGTGAAGGCTATGTAAAATTTGCAAGAAACATGATTCATTTAATTTGATATATGATCACATTTAATAATCATATCATTTTTGTTATCATATCTTATCTGAAGAGACATACAATTTTGCACAATGATCCTTGTACGTAACACTTGTCCCAATGTGGGCATTAATTGTAATCTCGAGTGAAATTTATCATTGGTCACATGGATAAACGATATTTGAACAAAAATATGAATAAATATTTAACCAAGAAAATTTGAACGATGTATTTGCTTATTCAATATTTTTTGGCTTGTCCTAGGGATAGATCTCGTTAATAGGTTATGTGTGACATTGGTTAATGTAATAGTTGGACAATTAGTTACGTGTATTTAATTTTCACATGTTTAAGCAAACAGTATCTACAAATTTTCCTGAAAACGGCTGCATCGATTTCAGAAATTTTAAAGCCATTTCATGAAACTCAGTAAGGACTTAAGTTTTGCGCGATAATCGGTCGAGACGTTTCTTTATAATTAGCAGATAAGTGCAAAAATTTTCGTTTCGTTGTCATTTGAAGATTTATATCAAATTAAAGTTCTGAAAGATTACCCAGTAGTATGTCTTTAATTTTGATAAATCAAATTAAATTATGGAGTCATATGAAACCTGACTGAACATATTTTGAATATTCAAATATAGTTCGAAATATAGATTTATGATCCAAACAAACGTCATAAAACTTTATTAAAGTTTGGAATAAAAGACACAATGCACAGTGTATATTCCCTTGTGTTTTGTATTGATCACCGTTGACGTCCACACTTAAAATACATTTTTAAAGCACCAATTAGAATGAAATGTATTGATTAAATTAAAATTTAATCAATACAATTATAGGTATGTTTAAAAGATATCGATTGGAAATTGAATAGTTTTTAGTGAATTTTTCGAAAATTTTATCATTGCGATTTCAAAAGATGCTAAATTTCAATTTTGGTTATTGATTCACAATTTATTTTTTAACTTACCGAAGGAGAAGTTTGTTTTCATAAAAAAATCCGTATCGCTAATTTTATGTTTTCTCGACGTTTCAAGCCATTCTGAATCGAATGAGACCAATCGAATTTGGAAAAAGTAAGTGTGTGTGTGTGTGCGTGTGCGTGAACAATTTTTTTTTATTTCTATTGAATCTCAATTTTCTTACAATTATTATCGATTGAGTCGATTATTTACACTTGTTCGGAGTTGCAACTTGTTTTTCTTAAGCAAATTATCATTAACATCTAGTTTCTCTCGTTAATAGGTTATGTGTGATATTGCTTATTGTAATCTTTAAACAATATTTAATTTTCACATGTTTAAGCAAATAATATCTACATCTTCACCTTGTTTTTCTCAATTGAATAATCATTGATATTTGTTTCCCAAAACAAATATTTCTTTTAAACTAATTTTAATTGAATTATTTGATAAGGTTAATGAATGCAAAAGCAATTCTGGTAACGAAAACCGCTTATCTTTAATTAATTGCCATGAATATTTATTTAAAATTAATACCAGTTCAATAAATTTGTCAGAATCGAATTGTTTAAATATAACCGATAACATTTCCTAAATTGTTTACAAATGTTTTTTCAACATTTAACAATTAAGATACCACTCAAATCCAAAAATAAATAGTGCAATGTAAACATATCTATTACGCGTTGTAAATATCGTACTATCATGCGTAGAAATTACATGAATTCACTTGCAGTTGTAATCTGGTATGCATTTAGTACTGCGCACAAGAATTATATGATTGTTCTTACTAAAGTCCTTTTCAAGTTGTGAATTGTCAATATTGATTTACTTTTTACGTAATACGAATTTTATCACTTTCCTTTATTTAACCTTGAATCAAATTGTTTAAGCGATATTTATATAACAGATTATTAAACATTCGCCGTACAGACATTTTTTAAAAATTTGACCAGACGCGCGATCGAGTTTCAATTAAGGTTTGATATGACTGCATGGTTTAATTTATCAAAATTAAAGGCATAGTTACTAGTGGACAACTTTTTAAAACTTTAATTCGATTATTTACATATATCTCAAAAATTACTGTTTTTTAGAAAAGAAGAATAGAAAAAATATAAGAAAATGGATGTCTTAAATGTTCATTTATCTTGATGTTTAGCAACATACGTTTACGAAGTAGTTACGAATTCTATGTAATTCTATGCTTATTTGTTCAATTAATAGCTTATTTTTATTTCTAATGAAATACTTTTCAAAAGACAAAATATGATATTGTAACGATTTTTTTTGTGTACTTTTGACCTGAATAGAGTAACAGATACATTTTTTAATCGTATTTTCCTAATCGTCATTCTGTTTCCGCCTTTTGAAGGCACAGATAGGTGCGACGACCCGGCGCTAAAACGTTCCGGGTCGTCATGTCGCATTACCAAGTTGTCCAAGAAACCAGTTGTACAGTTTTAGTTGTGCTGTTTTAGTGTTATTGCAGTATTAATATAGAGTTCAAACAATGACTAACTATTGCTCAAGAAGAGTTTCTTTCCAAAAAATAATTAAACTACACTTTTTGTTTTTAGACATACTTTTTTTAATAATTATAAAAATACTTGTACTTTTAATTTATTTACCTGGTCACGAATGTCCTTCTCTGTGTGAACTTTTGTTTCTTTATCTCCTAAATTATTAATTCTGATTTCATTTCCATCATTCCAAATTTCATGTAAGGATAATTTTCGGACAGCACGAAGATTTTCAGTCAATGTGTATATGAACAAATGGTCGGGATCTTGTGATTTGCCAGCTACACCTAAAAATAAGGTTAAAATTATTCATAGAAAATCAACAGTAATATTTCACAGACGTCTAAGTGTTAATTATAATAAATCAGCTTTTTCTGTTGAGTAATTAAAAGAGAAAACGAAGTTGCGACTGTCATCTTCATATATTTATGATCATTTTCTCTCCCGTAATATCTCGTGTGCAATTTCTATAATTTGTTTGAATGCATATTCAACATGTGCTAAATTAACATAGATATTAGTATAATTCTGACAAAACACATATTAATTACTAACGAAAGTAACATTAAAATTATATTTTTTCATTGAGAATCACTCTTAGATCTTTGCGATCAATTTATTGAGACGTGAATTATTTAACTCTATAGTAGCAAGTGTCATTTATCACGACCTTTAACGCAAATTAAATTATTAAAAATAGACCAAGCTGACCTTCTATTTATTTTGTTCGGTTATTATTATATAAGTAATATCGCTAAAACGCTCCAATTAAATTAATTGCTACTGCCGAAATACACGTTAGATTAATATATGATTTTTAATGAATGAGTTATATCTGGATGTAAAAATAACAAAAGTCTATTTTTATTAGATTCAACTTTCCTTAGGGTAAATTATAGAAAAAAACTGTGTTTCTGTATGAATGTATGAACATAATTTTTCGTCCACATTTTTGGGAGTTCAACTGATTTGAATTATTCAAAAAACTTTTCACTTTGATTGAGGTTATAAAGAATTCATTTTTGTAAAGGCATGTCCAGCGGTTTCGGAGATTCAGAAAAAAAATTAAAAGAAAATGTCATTTGGCAGTCAAAAATCAGATATTTCCGACAGTACGTTTGACAAGAATTACCCATTCTTCAAAACTTTTAAGAAATTTCAAAATTTTCAAAAAAATATAAATCTTCAAAAATTCATAATTTACAAAGAAGCCATTTTTTCATATTTTTAATATACCAATTTTTGAAATGTTTTAAAAATGGAGAATTACCAAAAAACAATATTTTTTCTTTTCTGAGCTTTTAAAATTTTTAAATTATGGTACTGGAAGTTCCAGTAATATGCCTTAAGATGCCATGCACCACTAGTTTCCTAATTATCGGTCACAAGTATTAATTATCAATATATTTAGGAGAAGAAAATAAGTTATTATAATATTGACTAAAAGAGAATGTTGCATGTATATAGTAATCGAATTGATAAATATTTTGTATCTGATGTCACAAAACTTGTACGAACTACGCAGTTAGCAAACGATTTAACAAATACAAATTTAAATATACTTTTATTTCTACAGGGCCCTATTGAAATCTATGTCAGTCGAACACTAGTATTTTGTATCATAAAATGAGAGGGCCCCCAGACAATGATTATATGAAAAAATATATAAGTAAAAAATACACGTAAGATATTTCGACACGGCCTTCATAATATCGCGATTTCGTGATCTCAATGTTGAATTGTATATCATTAAAATTATGATTGTCATGTTATATAAAATTAATTTTGAAAATCATCTTGTTGCACTTTTCGTATATGTCGAGCATGCATTCAAGGTTTTATTGTTGATTCGATTGAAATCAAAAGTTGATTGACCAACAAAGAACTGGATTTTTTAAGATTTCTATATTTAGAAGTTCAGCTCAAGATCAGAAAAGAATTCAAAGATTTTATACCACGTATATAGAATGAGTCTGAAGTAAACGCGTTGTTATTAAATGACTAATAGATATGTTGTTTTATAATTACTCATTTATATGCTATCATAAAATATCCGCACCTATTGTAATATAAAAGGAAATTGCTAGGAAGTTGTTTCAAATATTTATAAAGGTGAATAATAATAATGTTATACTAAATTAAATACAATTTGTAGAACAGTTATTTATTCAATAACTTTATTTAATGAATTTAAAGAGCTAACACAAATTCACTTAAAGCTAATGAAGGTGTCTTATAACATTCATCAATATTGTAAAGAACAAGTTTCTTAAAAATGTTAGAATTTCTTATTTTTTGGTTCTCTAATACTTAATGGCAATTTGTTTAATAACAATATAGATAGAGTTCTGAATATTTCATTTATAGCATATTAATCAAATAACAAACGTTTAAAAAAAGTTAATACTGATTTACTAATAAATAATAATTTTTTTATTGTCCAACTTAAATAATTGACTCAATTTGACTAATTTGATGATTTTTGCAATCACTTTCAACAACAAAACTCCAAACTATGTGAGCTTTAATTTTTTCTAATAATCCGAAAAAGCAAGTACACCTATATCTATTGTATTTAGCTTATTAAAATAAAAAACTTCTGATTTTCGTTTATTAAGTTATATCTCAACATTTCTCACTAAACTATAAAAAGACACATTGTACTCGAAAAGCGCCCTTATTTGAGAAATGATTGAAATTTAAAGCAATGGTTTAAAATTTTAATTATATTATTTTTCAAAATTGTATTTACCTCTGCATATATATTTTATTAATTTATTTAATGCTGTATAAAATGTATAAATTAATAGACGTAGTTAGATTTTTGCGGTTATTGATATTTAGCATATTAAACTGGAATATAACTAGTTATTCCTTATTAGATTATATCTCAATATTTCTCATTAAACTATAAAAAGATACCTTAATTAAAATATTGTTTACAAATAGCACTTATTCGAGAACTGATTTAAATTTTCAGTAACGGTTGAAAATTTGTTCAATATTAATCTCTTTAACTTTATTTATTTCTCGGACAACCTGATGTCAAGCAGCAGAGATATTGGTTTCTCTTTGAAAATATGGATAGGCAATGCCTATTTCAAGTTAAATTAGCCATTCCCTAACATTGCTGCATTGAAAATAATTGGTATTACTGAAATTGCATCAATATATAAAATAAAATTTAATAAAACTCATCGAAGAGGTTGTCTATTAATCACGTGATCGATTTTTAAGGATTTTTTTCTACCCCTGTGGTGACATTTGAAATTAACCCCTCCGTCTTCTCTACCTAACATTATGTGTGTTATTAGTACCTAGAAACAATCAGAAAATTTTTAGATTTTTTTTTAAATTTTTGAGTTTTATTAAATCAGGTAAAAAATGAATACACTTGACACCTTACTAGACCCCCTCTTTCCCACATGATATTTCGATTTTTTTTGTCAAACCCTTCCCACCCTCGTGATTACTGGAGGGCTTCTTATCACTTAATAAATATGTTTGAAAATATGTTTTCACATGAAACTAATGGTTTCCATGCATTAAGTCATAAGTATTACAGAAATTCTCATAACCAAAAATATAAAATAGAGATATAATTATTATAAAATAGAGATAAATATTGGGTTGCCTTTTAAAGAGCGTAGTTGGACGTTGTTAAGCAGAAGATGCATCATTACAGCTCATAGAACTGTTCTGATTGGTGTTCAAAAATATGTTTAAAAAAAATATAATAATTCTTATTTTTTAATGCATTTAATATTGTTTCATAGACAGTACCAACACAGCTTCCCATGTGTTTATTTATAATTTTTGCGACGCGGCTTCACCTACTTCCGTACACACACTTATCTCAAATATATTATGTAAGCCTGTATTCGATTCATTTTGCATGTTAGTCGTAGCATACATTAGAATAAGCAATAACAAATCTGGCCTTGACCGCGTATTTTATTCGCGGTTCAACCGGCAAACTTTGTTGTTTATCTCATGTCAAGATATATAGTGCGCTTTCAAAATACATACACGCTTGGCTGGCAAAAAGCTGCATGTTTACTACAACGGTGGCTCATAATATTAAATGTTCATGCACAAGGAACTTTCATTTAATAACAGAATTTAAATGCCTATTTTCGACGTCGTAAATTTGCATTGTAAATGTTATTGTTTCATTTTTTGTTTTCATTGTTCATATGCAGATTTATGCTTTTAAGCTGCACCGTTGCAATGCAATGTTTTGTGACATAGTGATTAATACCGGTTTACTAATTGACTGCATTCATTGTGAAATTTAGCAAGATCATAACGAGAAATGATTGATGTGCAACAATTAGCAAATTATAAATAATCCTATTAGTATTTAATTTTGTGTATACCATCAAACCTTACATCGTAAAGTTGACGATAAGGAAGAATAAGACAAAGAAAATTTGAGTTAAAAAAATACTAATAAAAGATCTTATATTAACCTTCTATGGGTCGAAATTTTGCTCTGTTTCAAGAGAACAAAAAATCAGTGATCATATGCCTATATATGCAAATGAAAAACAAAAAAATCTGTTTAAACAAATTTTTGGGTATTAGTGAATTATGTTTCTTTCAAGCCACAGTTGGCCATTCTGTGTATGAAAATGTTAATTATAGTTAAAAAGCCTAGCAAAAATATTGATATTGACTATCTTGATAAAGTCATAGAATTACTTTTTGCACTGTATCTCGACTCCCCATCAATAGAAAACGAATATTTTTTTTGAATCATTCAAATCGGTCAATCCGTGTTCTCGACATCTTCGACGAAAAATTGTATCCGCATATACATACACAAAACGGTCTATGTATCATCCTACACACACATCCATTTTTTCTAATTTATGCCAAAATGTTCAGAAGGCTTTGAAATGTAAAGATATTTAAAAATTGAATCTTAAGAATGATTCTGTGGCAAATGTGATGAAAAATCGTAATGAATAGATACAAATGATGTTTATTTTCAATATTCACATCTTCTTAAAGCATCGTCATTTTTCAGAAACTTCTCTTCTAAGTTTGTCAAAGAAAAATTAAGAAGTGAAAGAAATAGAGAAAGCCTACATTACCTTTAATAAATCAACAAGTTGCTTCATTAGTCGTTGTCATTATAAATCTGCTTTTTTGTCGGATCGGAATGTGTACATCGTATTTAGTATCATAGAAATTTTTATTCTAGACTTGAAATATGAATATGAAATATTTTATTGTAGACTTGAAATATGAAAAGTTCATCGAAGAAATTTATCCGGAATCTGATAAAGGTGTTTCTTGATATATTGATTTTATATAATATTTAGATAAATATTTTTTATTCCATTCGATCCAGTTCTAACTGCTTCTTGTTTATAACCAAGTATGATAATAATAAGATAATTTTTAAAGTTTGCAAATTATCACCTTTTTAAGATATTCAAGGACTTTGAAATATGATGCAGCCCGCTATGCATAACATGAAATCATGCAGTAGTGATATCAATTTTAATTTGAAAATATAGATCAAAAATTTGTTTCCAATTGAAAATAACCCATTTCGGGCACTCTTGCGTGAAATGGCAATAGGAAATCTCTCACACGTTTATCTCAACTTTCGGACCTGCCTTAGGGCAGTACTACCCATTATCATTGTTTTGTATATTTTCAAATCAAATCTATTTATAGAACTATTCTAATTTTATATGTTTAATAATATCGTCATAATGCGGAACCGTTTATGTATGAGTTGACATCAAAAGCTTTAGATTTATGTGGAAGTAATCTGCTAATGTATGTAAACACAGAATCGAGCCTGTGGGCAAGTGGGCGTCATTGTGGGATGACAATTTCAGCTCGAGATACTTTGCGCGGCGGATGCGTCCAGGAACGTGATTTGCTATTTTTAGACCAGACGAGTTAAAAGTGCAAGCTTGAAAAGACAGGGTTGAAATAAGTTGAATACATATCTGTTTGTATCTAAGCGGTTTATATTTTTATGCATGTTAGGCTTACAAGGGGAACCTGTCTCCTTAACTTCAAGTAATTTTTATAATAACAACGACTTTTCATAGGCTTCTAATTTTTCACGTTGGTGAGTTTAGGCGCCAAATCTATTATCATGCCAAATTTCATCAAAATCCCTGAAGAGCAACGGACGGGTTTTCCTCGTTAGGTGTTTTATCCGGGTATTTCGGACTCAATAATAATACCAACTAAAACTTTCGCTTTACTCTTGCCTCTTGTCCCCACAGAAATCGCCATTAGGCTATACATACTTCAAACTACAAACTACTAGAACTAAATTATTTAAAAATGCTAAAAGGTTGACTAGGGCATGCCTTGGAAAATTCAGTGACACGAATGAATGATAACCTCAACTTTGCATTGATTAGAATCCTTTTTTATGAATTTAAATATCAACGTTATAGACCAAGAGCCCGTGGGCGGATGACAGTATGTATTTTACGACACCTGAGATTTTGTTCATCGATTCCTTTATACCTATCCTACATGAGATGGGGACTGACTAAGCCCAAAGTGGCGGACACAGCTACTGCGCAGCTGGTAAAGGTACCTTTTTTTCGCCCATTTCCGAACCATTTTACGACGGCTGCCGTTTCGAAAATTTTAAAATATAATATTATTACTATCGAAAAAGAAAAGAGAAAGGGAATTTTAATTGGAATAGATCAACTTATATTTTTATTTCATTTGTGTTAAATAATATCACGAAATAGTTTAAAACTCATATACTCATAACTGCAGGTTAGAGAATGAGAAACAATTAACAATTGAGAAACTTCAGGTTTACTTTTCTCCGGGATTTTGATAAAACTTTGCATGGTGATTCCAAAAATTCATACAAATTGGAGCATAGTAAAAAAAATCAGACCCAAAACGCTCCATTGACTTAAGTAAATTTTCCGTATCCAGTGCTAAACATATGAATTATTGACACAATGAAACTTCTAAATAATTAGTTTAACCGAATACCTTAAAAGATTATAGTCTATGAGAAGTGGTTTAATTATAAAAATTATTTCAAGTTGCGAAAAATACACTTCGCGCTATATGGTTTGCCTATCAACTTTATTATAATACTCTTCATGGGTACCAAAAATATCCTCCTTGGATATTCTCCTTGTTAGTAAAAATGTTATTTGAAAAATTCTTACGGTGTAATATCACACATGCAATGTTCTGAAAATTTATCGCAATCATTAAAAGACCTGTACGTTCTTGCATTATATTTATCGCATATACTCAAATCTTTATTTTGATATCGTGTTTCAATATGAGGTGTACTCTTTAAAGTTCCTCGGTATTTAAAAGGCAAATAAAAACTTGGCGAATGATTCTATAAATAGATTTTGTTATAACTTATTTAAATTGGTAATTAAAGTTTGAATATTAATAATGGAAAAAATAGATGCATGGATTTTACGCGAATTTAAAATTAACTGTAAAAATGTATTCATAAGAATCCGTAGACTATCCCGCTTGAGTGAACTTTGTACGCTTTGTACTTCTCTAGTTCTTACATCAGAACAACTTTATTGGAATTCCACGAGATGCAAAACGAGGAATACTAATATCATAGATTTCTATCTCAATTGATAATTTTTTTAATCAACTTTTCTCAACCTTGCCTTGAAATTGCGCATACGCTTTTAAGCCCAACACTTGACGCACCGGCGCCATATGAAAATAATGCGGAGCGACATGCCTCTATTGCAATCGCACGTGAAAATGGGTCACTGTTTGTATATAATACGTTCATAGCGTCACGTACGGTCGTTCACATAGATTCACCGATCAATAATATCGAAAAAAAAGATGAAGGACAATCAAACCTTGAATGGGATATGTATCTCTACTCTATCAGATTTCAAGATCGCAATGTCACCGTTCTTATTTATTTACAAATGTTACTTATCGAACAAGTTGCATTATGTTGTGTAACTGGATATTGCTAGGTTGAAAGTGCACGGATTTACTAATGTAGAAGATTATAAGATTATTGCAAAAATTCAGGAGAACACGTGCTATTGTTTTAGCAATGATGATTATGCTGAAAGCGATAAAACGATTGATCCCTAATAATCCCAATAGGATTATGTTTTTGTAATACGCAAAAATATATTTATGGTAGAGTAGGTATTTAATATTTATAGAACTTTACAACTAATTATTTGTAGAACTTTACAACTTAATTCAATGGTTAAACCATGCTCTTGCTCTATATTTTATGGTTACCTTATGGCTATGGCTTTAATGACTAACAGGTATAAGTAGATAACAATTCGCATCTTTCTAAAAATTAAAATACTATCATTGCACTGTTTAATAATAAACATTAAGATATAATTTTCTTTGTTATAAACATTCAGAGTCGATACTACTGGGAGATTATAAAAAAATAAAACACTCCATGCCAAACTATAGCCTGAGCAACTCATAACGAAAATCGGAACACAATTATAATAACTTTTTTTTTTTTTTGTTTTTAACATAATTACTATGTATCTTATTCACTTTTTTTTAAATATTGTTGTGTGATTTTTTCACGGAAATAAAAAACCTTTTCTTTAAAACCTCAAACCTCTTCTTTTTTATCACAAAAATCGTATTTATTATTTATAATATCTGTTATGATTTTACCACATATGTAAAACAAAATACCCGGAGGTAGAAGGTCTCTATATTTACTAAATGTAAAATTAAATGTATGTATAATAATTAATGAAATATGCAAGTTACCCATCTATCTATCTAAAACAACTGAAATCGAAATATTCGGTAGAAAAAGCTACATAAAGACGCCATAACAATTTTCAACAAACATCCAAGGAGAAATACTAGTACTGTTATATAGTACCTGTATTATTAATGTTACTTTCGCCTTTTGTAAATATTAACAAGTCATAAGAGTAATGAAGCAACAATTTCCTCATGTTCATATTTTAACAATGAGCGCACAATGATTATAAATAATACGAATACAATCTCTTACAACAATGCACAATATTCAAATTAATAACACTGCTGAGTAAATTTGTTTGTTTTTGATTATGATGAGTTGTATTAAAACTTTAAACCAACAAGTAAAATATGTAGTTCACGTCATATAGAGGTATTGATATCTATACTGTTGATTGATTTTCAACGAATAAAAAAAACTCACGTGTTAGAATTCATACCAGAGCGTCCAATCATTGGATTGGTATTTCATTTGTCTTATAATAGAATAATAATAAAAAAGAGTTTTTTAGAATGATGAGTGAAGTTGAACAACATCTTGAATCTACTTATTAATAACTCAATTTTTGTCGCAATGCATATTATTATTATATAAATATAAATAATACGTATACAATCTCTTACAACAATGCACAATATTTAAATTAATAACACTTCTGAGTACATTTGTTTGTTTTTGATTATGAGTTATATTAAAACTTTAAACCGACAAGTAAAATATATAGTTAACGTCATATAGAGGTTTTGGTATCAATAATGTTGATTGATGTTTAAAGAATTTAAAAAAAACTCACATGCTTATTAGAATTAATACCCTGGCGTCCAATCGTTGGATTGGAATTTGATTTAGACGTTTCATAATTAGGTGCAGATATTAAAAAAAATAGCTTTTTAGATAAATTTCATAAAAGCTGATGATAAGTGAACTTAAACAACAGCTTGAAACTACTTAACTAAATTTTTTTATGTATATTATTATTATTATTTTTGACTTACCTTTCCCGGATTTCCACAATGCGACTCCATACCATTTGGAAGTTTTCTCCTTATCAACCACTTCCACAATGAATCCAGTTTCTAAAACAGAACACAACAGACGACACTCATCAGCGTTGAACCATCTCGATTCCCTCAATTTATGAACAGCGACAGTACTGCCAAATTGTCCTGTGACCACGTTTTTGGTGGCCTTCTGTCCAACGGTCGCTAGGGATTTCAGCGACTGACCGGCGAAACTTAAGCTTTTGTGCATTCTATAGACTGTGTTGGAATTCAAACACAACACTTGAAATAACTGACTCACAATAAAATTATTTGGATGGAAAGAATATGGGTTTTATGGTATAGCTTGTGTATTCAAAGTGGGTTGATGGCGATCGATACTTCAAATTAATTGTCCACACGCGACCTATTTCAATAGACGGCGTTCAGTAAATTATCTGAATATATTGGAAAACTATTGATGTTTGTTTTTTCTGTTGTTTTATTTAAGTCCGTTAAATATTTGCGAAAACGAGCTATATAATCTCCTCAGTTCGTTCAGTGAGCAAATGCACAATGGATTTCCCGTGCGCCTATATATACAAAGATTATATTATTGCTTCCCACTCTTGGGTATATCTGGTGTGGATGTGAAGCGCGAGTAAAACGATAAGCTTGCGATTCGTAGTATGTGTGATGTTTCTTCTTAGGGGGCGTCCATTAATCACGTGAGGTTTTTAGGGGGAGGGGGGGTTTGACGAAAAATCACGAAATATCACGTGGGGGAGGGGGGGTATGGTAAGATATCACGTGTATTTATTTTTTAACTGATTTTTTTTTTTAAAATCTAACATTTTTAAAAAATAATCAAAAATTTTAGTTTTTTCACTTAACTAAAAATACACGTGATGTTTGGTGGGGGAGGGGGGGTAATTTTGAATATCACCACGTATCACCAAGGGGGAGGGGGGGTCCAAAAATCCTTAAAAACTAGCTCACGTGATTAATGGACGCCCCCTTACACGACCAATATCACTAATTTTTTACTTATCGACTCAATATCTTGCACAAACCATTAAATTGCATCTATTTTTAACACACAAGTACGTTTATTACCATATTACCATAACCACGCGGAGACTGGACGAACAACAGTTGTCTTACTCTTTGTGTGCAAAGTCCAACGACACTATTGTTTCTAGAAGATTCGGAAGTTTATTGTTTACTTTGAACTCGGTCACACTAATTTGTATATACTTTTATTAATTGATATTACTTATAATGACAAGTATAAAGGTATATCAAATTGATTCTGAACTTGGTATTAAATCTGTGATCAATATGTACTGGTTAGTACTAATTATAAAAAGTACAACAGTGCTTGTTACTTGCAATTGATGCTACTAAAGATTCTGTATAATATGATTAATTATCCTATTACTATTTTTGTTTTCCGGTAGAAATCGACTCAATAGTTGCTTTACTGGCGGTGTATTGAAAGTCGCGCGAGTTGGCCTGATGGTTTTATATATTCACAAGCGGTATGGAATGCGATACGCACGGTTCGTTGTCATAGTAAGGCCCGCATCCAGCTCAACAAGTTTTTAGTTGGGGTCTAAAATGTTCCTGAGTTCGACCCTGTGAAAAGAATAAATAAATTACGAATAACTACGCTGTACGCGTGGTTTTGCTAATTGACAATGTGTTTAAATATTTATTTAAAAATGATTTTAAACATTACAGTCGCGCGATGATTCCATCTACTTCTTAAGGTTCATTTTTAGTAAAAACTTTTTACTACAACAAAATATTTTCAATTTTATGCATTTCATTCTTGCAAATCCAGGCGATTACAAGCCTTAGCGTCTGCAGATATGCGAAATAACTGCTTTACCGCCAAACATTGTTATTTATTACTTCAAATTTTTGCTCATAATAAATTTGGTTGAACATTAAAAGAAGTCCGTACGATAAAAATATATTTTACAGCATATACTTTGGCTGGATGCACTTAATATGCTTGTTTTATGAATCTGTCAGCACCCTGTGTTTTAAATTTAACTTTTTTGCAGCATATTTCCAAGATTCAAGATTTGGTAATTGATGTATTCCTTCTCCTTGTTGTTGGCGATACTTGCTCATGCTGTAATCACAAAATATTTTTATGGCGTATTTAATAAAACTACACTTTTATTCATTATAATACACATTCTAAGTTATAAATTTGTTATATTTTACTTGGATATGTACATTTTTTAACTTTCAAAAATGAAAATATCATTTGAAAGGTTTCTGAACATTTTGGCATACCTTAGAAAACAATGGATGTGTGTTTGCGTGTGCGTGTGTATATGGATGTTAGGATACAAATTTTCGTCCGCGATCTCGATATAACGGATCAACCGATTTGATTGATTCCAAAAGCATTCGATTCTTATTGATGGGGAGATGTGCTAACTAGTTTCTGCTAAAGGCAGGTCCAATGGTTTCGAAGATACAAGGCAAAACGTGCAACAAATAACTATTCAGTTTTTGAATCGATCGATTTGAACGATTCAAAAAACATTTCATTTGCATTGACGGAGTGAATTAACCAAGTTTTTGGGAAGGCATCCGTATAAATGCATAGTTAACTAAATATATCATAAATGATAAATGAATTGCTGTAAACTAAGGTTACAGTAAATCTTGTTAAAAATATAAGCAGTACTGCGTAAACTCCATGGACTCTTAATATTCCAATAAGGGTTGGTTAAGATTTATATTTCGTTTAGATTTTTTACTAATCAAGGAGGTGATATCTTTGTATTTTGGCTTTTTATTGATTTTATATAACTCTCTCTGAACAATGGATGATACAAATTATTTTTTATTATTCATGACTATGAAACATGTGTTATAGGAATCATTAGGTTTATCTAGAATTAATGTAACCGACCTTTTTTGGAGTTAATATTAATCAATAATGAAATCATTCTCTGTAGTGTGACTAATCGGCATCATGATTTCAATGCAGACGGTGTCATACAAATAATCAATATATAAATTGTTTAATCGATACTGTTAAGTCATTCTTCAATATAATGAAATACAATTTTCATTGCTTTGAAAGTGTTAAGTTACAAGATTATTGTATTGGTACAAAGTACATTCTGGCTTGAAAGGAATTTCATATTGTTTTTAAACTATATGATGGATTTTCAATACATATTTTTGTAGTTGAAACTTTAGCCTTGGGCTATTATAAAATTACCTTGCGGTTAATAAGCAGCATTAGTTAGGATCTTATTAGAATTTAATTATCGGATATTTAAATATGTGTAGTGATATATGTGTATATGCATATGTATCATTTTCTATTATCTGAAAATAATTCATGAATATGTTTCAATGCAAATACATAGTAGTAATTAATATATTATTTTGCATTTTTAAGGAAAGTCCTAAAATGTATTCAGTTTTTTATCGTTAAATTATTTACTCTTACAATATTTGAACTATGATGGAACTATAAATAACATTAAAACCCTCATAGAAACTATAGGTTTATTTATCGACTCAAGTTAAACACGAATTCCAAAAATTTATATAAAAACTCATGTATTAAAAGAAATCAAAAGAGTACTCTATACATTTTTCTCTATCAAGAAGTTATTTAAAATGTGCATTTTTTCGTGCATAATATTTGAATATACTTTTCATTTCGATTTGCATTTCCATATGTTTTAATTTATGAATTATGCATATTTTGTACATATAAGAAACTATAAATAGAAAAAGTAACCTTGCCATAGGCATTTTGGACAAGATTTTAAATGCTTTTGTAATTAAAAGTAATGATTATCTAGATAAGGTGCCAGAATTTTGCCTCTAATTTGATATGCAATAATATAATCATTTGAATAGAGTGCTGTAATATTATAGAATAATAAACTAATGCGTCATTTCAAATAAAAAAATGATCTGTTTTGCAAATGCTTCTCATAATCTGCCTATAATAACCCGTCGGTTTTAAGTTTGCACATATCTACTCGATAATCAATGCAATTGTGTATAATTTGGGAACGCATGTCTTTGAAAAATCTATTAACCTTCGTATTTTGTGCAAAATTTGCTCATAAACAATATTAACGAGATGCTTTTAACACTTCGTCATTTCAATACCACTTCCACATTAACTAAAATATTTTGGCAGGATCATGGAAAATGTTTACTTCTTTAATTACATTATAAACATAATGGATGTGAGAAATATAACTGGATAGAAGAAGCTTATTTGCATATTTTTTGTGAATAATTAAATGCACAATTTTTGTGATAGTATTTGAATTCAACTAAAAAACGTGTATATTGAAGAGTTTTTTTTATTAAAACTATTGCTATTTATACTCACTTCACTAAATACTACGAACTACTCTAATGTAAAGTTTAATAGGCTTACCTTAATTAGAACAAATCTTGTTGTTATTTTTTAGAATAAACCGCCCATTTTTTACTATAAGCACAAAACTCTAATGGCTTCGTGCATTTTTTAAGCCATGTTTCATGAAAAATAATGAAAACTTGTTTAAAGTTAGAATCCCAAAGCTTTGTTAAAGGTCCAATACTATAACTATTTACCTTCTAATAATACTTAATATGGGTTTAGGTGGGTATGAACCCTTTCCACTGACGAATTGCGAAATTATTATGCATTTTGGCATCAGAGTGGAAAGGGTTAATTCGATACTAGAGAGTTTTCCGCAGCGAGCGGAAATGAGCCAGCAAGCTGCTCAAGTATTTGTTACACAAAGCATTTTAAGATTTTCAATCGTTATCGATGAAAAAGCATTTAAATATTAAAAAATGCACTTATAAAAGACTAAAACCAGAGGGTTTTCCGCAGTAGTGATACTACTATGTGAGTTAGAAAGCTGCTCTCATAGTAGTATGAACAATTTTATTGTAATGATCAGGTGTTTGGTAAAATTTTAATAAAATACTTTTTTTTTTCTCATTTAATTTTCGACATAATGAGATATTTATATAATGGACAAAGTGACATAGTACTATTTTGCAAGTACAAGAAAAAAACCTGTCAAAGGTCAAAGACTTTCAACTTGCACTCCATGTTTAGAAAAATAATACCTAAAAATAGACCAAAGATAAAAAAAGGAGGGTATTTGTTTCACAAAGCATTTTAAGATGTTTCAATCATTATTGATTAAATGGCATTTAAATATTAATAATTGCACTTCTAAAAAACTAAAACTACAATAAAAAATTAAAACTCTCAATAATTTAGCTCAGACTGATAAAAATTTAAGCAAAATTTGATATATGTTATGTCGTCCATAGGCAAAACTCGTACACACAGGTTGTCAATAGCGAAAGGATCAAACTCAGAGTTATAAAATTAGTAAATAATCACATTTTTTTCGACCTAAGCCTTTTCGGCAATCTTATTACTTTGCAATGAAGATGTCTAGAAAGAAAAACATTGCTGTTTTTGCCTTTTTCAAATGAACTCTGTATTTTAGGCATCGATTGTTTTCTTCTGCGTACATAGAACATTGTATTTTTCTTTATTTTATTGGATAAATCAATTCAATTTTGACTAAAATAGATTTTCCAAACAAAAACATGTTTGTCTATTGTAGCTACCACAAACTCTTTCTGGTTACGACTTTGCATACTGAATGTAAATATAGCGTCTAGAAGACGTCATAGAGAACAGTGAAAATCTACAATAAGCGGGAAGAAAACCACATTTTACTTTCCAGGAAAACTCGATATTTTAGTTGAAACGCATTCGATTGACGTATTTATACCTTTTATTTGTTTGAGTGGGTTTTGTTGTTACAAAGTTAACCAGAATGGCGCCAGTCATAAGATTAAGCCGCGAACTTATTGCGTTCTTATACGTAAGAATTTGTTCAAAGGTAATTCTAACGATAGCACTTATGATGAATAAACGACGTTGATAAGAATTATTAATTGTAAATGGAAATCCTTATCAAATTATAAATGATAAATAATTTTAACCTTTTTCACCTCATGATATTATTAAACGTAACTTTGTTATAAATTTCATTATTTATAAATATAAAACATCACTTGAACAATGAGGCAGTATCACAGATTTCCACCAAGATAATAGAAAGAAAACTAAATTATGTTTCTTAAAACTTTAAATAAATTTAAGTCCTAGTTTGGCATTTATTTTGAGGATAAAACACACAACTATTTGAAACTATTTGAAAACGCTCAAAATACAAAGACCACATTCAATTAAAGACAGAATTGAGTATCGAACATATTTGTGAAAAAAAGAATATATTTAGTTTGAAAAATTAAATTAGAAATAATATATAAACAATGACTATTCTGGACAAATAAGCTAAATCAAGTAAATTAATCAAATTATCTAAAAAACTAATTCACACACAGACACACACACACACACATATATATATATACACTTAATTATTAATTATGTATAATAATAAAAAAGTTATTTTTTATTTAGGGATATTTGATTGAAATTTTTGAAGGCATATAATATCAAATAAAAAAGAAGAGATTTTTAACATCTTTATTTATCCATTTGTTTCGACATACAATTTTTAGTTATTATCAGTGAATATAAATAATCAGGAAAAACAAACTCCAGGAAAAAAAATAAAATAAATACTTTAATAATAATAAATATTATTATTACAAACATAAATACTAGCACGTAGTGTTTATTGAAATACAAACGGAACAGATTTAGCTTTGCTTATAATGATAGTTACCAATTTCCCACAATCACTGACATTTTTATTATTGCACATGTGCTAATAATATTTATTATTATTAATTTCATTTTATGTTTGTTATTCCAAATTGTTTATATCCACTGACTTGGCGTAAAATCTTATATGACAACATATGAGAAAATAGATATTTTCCACTTTTAGTTAATGTTATGCCTTCTACAAGTTTAGTAATATATGTGTTTTTTGAAATTTCATTATTATCATGATTATTTTTTACTGTTTTTTTTATCTTCATTAATCATTTTTTATTCCATAATTTATTTTAATTATTCCTTGTATCATAAGAATAGTTTTAGCTAATTTAATGTTTTCTCGACATTTTAAGTAATTCTGAATCGTTTGACACCAAAATTGGAAAAAGCATGTTTGTATGTGAGCTTAAAATTGAACTTTTTCGATTTGTCTTTAAAAATGTCTTCGCTGATTTAAAAAATGTAAATGGCAAGCAATGTTTGCGAGTTTTTTCTATCTAATACTTAGATTCGTTTTTTTGTCTAATATCTTTAGAATTAACAGAAATGTGTTGAACACTGTTCACGTTTTAGCTAAAACTTTTGAACCGATTTTGAAAATTCAAAAACTGTTCTATTAAATCAGTTGGGAATTGTGGTGATTAGTTTTTGGTATAAATCGGCCTGGCCGTTTCTTTCTAATAAAACTCTTAACTAATATTCAAAAATTTGTTTTTATTTATAAAACTACTACTGCAAATTCATATTCTTGCTCTATTATCTTTAGCTTTTATGGTCAGATTATATAAAAATTTGAATATTAAGTTATACTATTATATATTCGGCTTGTCTTATCAAATTCGGTTTGATTGATTTATCGTGTTCTGTTCTATTGATATTTAACCCTAGTCATGACCATGTTTTATGATTCTTATCTGATCACTATATTAACTCCTGCGAAATTAAACATCATTATTATCTTCCAGTAACCGATAACATATCGTACATTTATAATTCCACTAACCAGTAATGGCTTTACTAACAATAAGGTGTCTAAAAGGGATATTTTATGTTATCTGTAATAAAAGATATACTTAGAAATGATTAGATGTAAATGACTCTAAACATATTTTTTGCATTTATTTGCTCTGAAGTAAATTCACTATAATTTACCATTTGCAGTAATTGGAATAATTATTAATATCTTTATAGAACTAAGAGTGCTAAATTTATCGAATGTGTTACAGATTGTTGAGATAAGTAATAACTGATTACACCACTCAAACTTCTAGAATTATTGTTATCAATAAATTTTGTATAATTGTTAAGATTACAAAATGCGTCATGTTTGTTTATTCGGAACTATTTGCGATAAGTCTTTGATAAATTTGCACATATACATTTTCCCATTTATAAATATTATGGTTGAATGAAAATGTATACACACTACCTATTTATACACATACACACACATACATACACACATATATATGCATATACATATATATGTATAATTGTATATACATAATTAAGTCTGAGAAAGCATAATATCAAGTAAAAATGGAAAAGATTTTAAAGCTTCTTTATTTTTCCATACGCTCCTACATATGATTCTATGCCATCATCAATAGATATAAACAATTTGGAGAACAAATATAAAATGCATTAATAAAAATAAATATTATTACTAAAAGAATAAACACTAGGATGTAACACTAAAACTGCCAATAATTGTGGAAAATTAGTTGTAACTATTTTACCCATTTAACTATTTGAGTGTCCGATGGAAAGTTTGTCTGATGCACTAATTTTCCGCAATTACTGGGTGTTTTAAGTGTTTCATATTAGTGTTTATACTTGTTATAATAATATTTATTATCCATTGATTTTCAACGGTAATTTGTTATGTCGAAACATAGGAAAAAATGAAGTTGCTTTTTTCATTTATTTTTCTTACTCGATGTTGTCTTTTAAGGATTTTTCATATATTGCAATATCATAATTAATCATTTACATTTAATAATATTTTTGTTGGTCAAATAAATTTAATTATAAACAAAAACATTTGCTACCAGGTATCCACCCAGTATTAAAAAAAAAACTAAGTTTAACTCTTTTTTGGCAGATAAAACTACAAAACAATGAAAAATGATATAAACAATATTTTAAATATCTAAAATTTATAAAATAAATCAACGGAAATGGTAAAACTAATATTAATACTTTATTGATGCATAATTAAAAAATGTACAAAACTAGCACTAAAAATAATGGATAACATAAAAAATAGATAATCAAAATATAAATAAGATAAAAAACTTAATATCCAAAACCCACGTGTGGTGGTACACAGAATACACTTAAATATGCTTAATTTTTAAGTTTAATTCTTTCTTTCTTTCTTTATTTTTAATTACAGTATTTGTCTAAATAGTATTAAATCTAGTAACATTGATGAATAATAACATAAATATAAAAAATAATATAGAGTACAAAAAAAAGGATAGTATTTACATTAAAATGATATCCGTATTATGATGATTTAAATGATATCATGATAATTTAATTTTATGAACCTAAGATATATAACTGGAAGCTAATTAAATGATTAAAGCTTGAAATGGTATCAATATTTCCTAGTATATTCTATTTGCGTACTTGTATATAATTCTTAAACATCTATCTCTTCAATATCTTTTCTTAAACATATAATAATAGGAAATCAAACTGGACATTATTCTAAAAAATAATTTTAAGTTAGTTATTTATTTTGAATAAGCTTCGTAAAAGTCTCTATTAATACCTAATTTTATTTAATGCGGCTTTCTTATACATGAATGAAATAAATTAATTAATATTAAATTAAACTAATTGATGCATGCAACGACTTACTATACTTAATCATCATATACATTTTACTAATCATGAAATCAAATAAATATTCAACTTCAATTTGCGTTACTATTACAAGGATATTCATATTACAGTACCATTTTTACAACTGGATTCACATAAAAAATGCAACTAATAATTTTGTTTATCATCTAATTGATTATTATAGGTTGTAGCTCGAAGACAGGATCTCAAATTGGTAGTGACATCCGCTACAATGGACTCCTCTAAATTCGCTTCCTTCTTCGGGAACGTGCCGACGTTTACAATACCCGGAAGGACTTTCCCGGTTGAGACTTTCTTCAGCAAGAATCACGTAGAAGATTATGTGGATGGCGCAGTCAAACAAGCTTTGCAAATTCATTTGCAACCGACTGAAGGGGATATATTAATATTCATGCCTGGTCAGGAAGATATCGAAGTTACTTGTGAGGTAAACCATCAACATAAAAATATTTGGAAGATGAATTTTGAATTCTAAACTATTGCTGTTTTCTAGGTCCTTGCCGAGAGATTAGCAGAAATTGATAGTGCACCTCAGCTTTCTGTCCTACCTATTTATTCCCAGTTACCATCTGATTTACAAGCCAAGATTTTCCAACGATCTCCAGAAGGACTTAGAAAATGTGTGGTTGCAACGAATATCGCTGAAACATCTCTTACAGTAGACGGGATTATTTTTGTTATAGATGCTGGGTATTGCAAGTTGAAAGTGTACAATCCTCGTATTGGTATGGACGCCTTGCAAATTTATCCTATAAGTCAGGCCAATGCCAATCAAAGATCCGGAAGAGCAGGAAGAACAGGTCCTGGTCAAGCATTCAGGTTGTATACGGAAAGGCAGTACAAGGAAGAACTTTTAGTTTCAACAGTTCCTGAAATTCAGAGAACTAATTTAGCAAATACTGTATTGTTATTGAAATCTCTGGGTGTTCAAGATTTGTTACAGTTCCATTTTATGGACCCACCTCCTCAAGATAATATTTTGAATTCATTATATCAGCTTTGGATCTTGGGAGCTTTAGATCATACTGGAGCATTGACTCCTCTTGGAAGGCAAATGGCAGAGTTTCCTCTCGACCCTCCCCAGTGCCAAATGTTGATTGTGGCTTGCCAAATGGGTTGCAGTGCTGACGTTCTAATTATTGGTAAATAATTATGTTTGAATTTATACATCTGTATATTTATACTTATAATTTTTATATTAATCTATTTTACTTGTTCTAGTATCCATGCTGTCCGTACCTACAATTTTCTACAGACCTAAAGGAAGAGAAGAAGAAGCGGATGGTGTCAGAGAAAAATTCCAAGTTCCAGAATCAGATCACTTAACTTTCCTAAATGTTTATAACCAGTGGAAACAGAATAAGTATTCAGCACATTGGTGCAATGATCATTTCATTCATATCAAAGCAATGAGGAAGGTGCGAGAAGTTCGTCAACAACTTAAAGATATCATGCTGCAGCAGAAGCTACCTATTGAGTCTTGTGGTACAGATTGGGACATTGTTCGAAAATGTATTTGTTCAGCTTATTTCTATCAAGCAGCTCGATTGAAAGGAATAGGAGAATATGTAAATTTAAGAACAGGCATGCCTTGTCATTTGCATCCAACTTCTGCTCTCTCAGGATTGGGGTCCAGTCCTGAATATGTAGTTTACCACGAGTTGCTGATGACGGCAAAAGAATACATGCAGTGTGTGACGGCTGTAGATGGACATTGGTTGGCTGAATTGGGTCCTATGTTCTTCTCAGTTAAAGAAACTGGCAGATCTGGTAAAGAGAAAAAGAAACAAGCAATGGAACATTTGCAAGAAATGGAAGAACAAATGCAAAAAGCTCAAGTTCAATTGCAAGAACAGAAAGAGCAAGCAACACAGAGAGAACTGGCAATGTCTTTGAAAAGAGAAATTTTAACGCCGGGATCGGATACACCAAGGAGAACGCCGAGTCGAATTGGTTTATGAGCTAGATATTTATTTTAACAAAGTATATTGTATGTAAATAATATTGTATATAAGTTTTAATTGATTATGAATACATTTAGGTTGGTAAGTATGTAGCCAAGTGAATAATATAAATATAATATAAAAATATTTTTTTATATTTTTTCTTGAGTACAAAAATAATATTAACAATATACTTAATGATAACAATGTAAAATTCAATAGACTCAATTCATACTCTTCTTTTATCTATGACTCAATTATTGTATGACAATGTGTATTACTACAATTTTTGTATAAATGAATAAAAATTTGTTTTAATCAAATCTTGTTCCTTATTTAACAATTTTTAAAGCAGTTCAATAAATTCAAGCAGTTGTTTATTTTAATTGACAAAAAAATCATATATGAAACAATATAAGAAATACATGTATTTAATGCTGCACCACGCTTCTTCATAATTTACTTTAGTAAAAAATACATCATTTCTTAGGGTGATTGATTATGTTTATTTATTGTAGCTAATTCGTAATTTCAAGTGATGTTTTCGAAATATATAGTTTTTTGGCTGATTTTTTTTAAAATAATTCTGGTTGAAATATATTTAAAATAAACATTGAACCAACTTAATAACGGACAATCTGGTACGTATCGCCATCTTAACAAAACTGGAAAACTTCACACTGTTGGTTGAAATATTTGATTAGAGTGATTCTAATGTTAATCTTATAAGTGCTTTTTAATGACAATACATTGTGAAAAGAATCAAGTGAGAATTATATGTATATTTTTAAAAAATCTATAAAAATCTCAGTGATATGTGATATGCATATGTGATATGTATATGTGATATGTATATGTATTTAGTGATTTTCTCTGCTTCTACTAAAAAGATACGTGTTTTGGATCACAGAGAACGCTTACATTTTCTTTTATATTTTTGATTACCACATGCAACAGCTGTCAAAGTTTTGTTAGCTGTCAAAGTGAAACTACAAAAACACATTTCTGGCATTAAAAAGAAAATGAATGAAGAAGTGGATGACAATGAATTTTACCACCAGGATTTCACTACAGCCTCTGATTGGGAAGTTTTCATCGCCCGTATCGAAGAAATAATTCATGAATGGAAATTACCATATGTGAAACAAGGCCCTGCATTGCTTAAGAACCAATTATGGCAAAACAATTGGAAAACATCAACAGAATGCATAAATTTTGCTGATGTACAGTTTAGTCTAACCAGATATTATTTAAAAATTGATGGTGCTGATGAGCCATCAGATGTCGATGAAGATGATTCAAAAAGTCAAGTCTTAATTGACTTGATGTCCGCAGAAAATGATTTTTGTACAGTCGATGAAACCTCACCAATAGTCCACCCTCTAGCAAGATGGTACGGCATTCGTGACTTTCTTGTTTTGAGTTCAGCCCAAAATTTAACCATAGATAATGAAAGTAAGATTAAAATTTTGCTCAGTTCTGCTAATATTGCTATTTCAAACAGTCATTGCGAAATTCCGCTGTTTGTAAAAATTTTAATACCATCTCAACATGTGTATCTTGGAGTTTCTGAAATGCTCGGGTTAAGGACAAATTTTGATATTATACATTTAAGTAAGACACCTGATCGATGCAAGTACTTTTCGGGACTGCTTGATGTTTTTAAGAGCAAAATTGCCAGCAATATACATGAACCCGTCACTTTTTCTGTTAGACATTGTTATAGTTTACAAGATTGGACATCAAATGCTTGGAGTCAACAACCACCAGACTTTGATATCTTAGGGGTTAGTAATAAATATCTTTCATAGAATTATATTACAATTACATAATATTACATTACATTATTTATATTGAATATTATTATTACATTATATTATATTGATTAAAAGTTTTATACATTTTTAGGGTGAAGGCTTTGGTTTAGAAGAATTGGGTTCACTTCCTTTTGGTACCACATATGATCCTATCACAGAATTATTATTATTTTGCTCCTGGCCTCAATTGCCTGAAAATGTTGCAGTTGATTCAGAAACATATTCAGACTTCGATTCAAAACAGGTATAATAAAACTATTTTACTGAAAATCATATAAGGCAATATAAAATAATCACTCTTTTGCTGTATAACTTTAGGCTCCAGAATGGTCTATTAGAGTAAAATGGATTGACAAACCTGCATGCTTGTTATCAGAATGTATTTCCGAGTTTTTGCAATCGGCTACAAATAGTAGAACAATGAAGGATTTTTTGGGACATATTGCAATGCAAAAGGAAACAGCTAACCCATTTGGTTTGTATATATCTTATTAATTTTACTCAAGTTATTAATGTATTTATTATTTATATTAATTTTACAAAATATATAACTTTTTTGTGCAATTTATTTAAAAGTATTAAATTCATGTCAAACACAAATAATGCAATTTCAATAATTTATTTGTACAGATAAATTAACTGAACCAGTTATACCTCCAATATCATCAGTTCTATCGTATGCAAGTAAAAGTACAAGATCACAGTCTAGGAAAGATGGTCCAATTCCAGAATCTCAACTGATGTCGATGCTATTTTATTTATTTCCTGATGCTCAGCCTAATTCAAGTACACCATACAATATTGATGCAGACATCCATTTAGGACAGGTATGAATGATAAATACATTTATTTTTCATAAAATTACCACAATCCTCAAATGTTCATTAAAGAAATATTTATTGTCATCAGAGTGATTCAACACGCCAAATAAAATCAGGCCCAGTAGATGGTCTAGTTTGGAGATTGAGTTGCCTGATGGCCATAACAGGACACTGGTTGGGAGGTTCCAGGGCAATTGCTCATTTGTGGTACGAATTTGTGGAAGAATTGAGATACAGGATTGATAATAACCACAAAATACCGGGGTAAGTTGCACAGAGATTACTTTGCATGCATTAAATTAATATTTCATGTTTCAACTTTAACAAATTACCTGGTTTTCAATTCAATATAAATAAATATCGACAGTTTGAAGTTTTTCTAATAAAAATACGGTGTTATGAAAACTCGTTTAAATATCTTACAAAACAGTTTTATTCTATTTCATTTAGCATACACTATGTGCCATAATACATAATATTATGTTAAATGAATTATATAATTCCTAAATTAATTTAACTAATTATTTGTCAGTTTATGTTAATATAATATGAAATATTATTTTATCTACATGTATATATTTATGTTTATACATATCTTAATACAATATTCCAATTGATACTATTTTTTGCCAAATTGATAATTTATAACGTGGTCTATTTCACTACAAAACATTTATCTTGGTCAATGTTTCTTAGAACTTCAAACAGACAATAACAATAGATTTATGCGATATAACACATATTTTTTTGTTAGATATATACAATATATATACTTAAATCTACTCTTATATGAGTATGCACACAAATATACGCGTGTGTGTTTGTTATTCTAAATTATAGGCCACGTGTATTTTTATAGATGAGTATCTATATACATCTTTACATTACATGACTTATTGCAAAATATTGCAACTTGCTTAACTATAGTATTATTTAATAGTATCAATACTACAAATGGAATGTGATTACATAATACAATGCTGGCATTATTTTAAATAAATATAACTGCATTTTAGTATGTATTTTTGAAATTTTTATATCTGAGAATATCGGTAATATTTTATTACATATATTCTACAATTTTTACATTATCAATAATCTCGTAAGTTACAAAAGCGACTATGAATTCCACATGATGAAATTTTTATCATTCGTTCACTCAATCAAATTTTTATCATTTATTCTCGCAATCAATCTCTTTTCACAAACCATTTTAAATTTAAATAATAATTAAATTAAAACATAACTATCAGATTCTCACATTATGGAAACAAAATCATCATCATTCTTTTAACATTTTTATAATATTTATTATCATATTTGTCATGAAGTAATCCTGAAATGCGCTTATACTTTTTTGGTTATTTTAAGATATGCAACGAAATTTAATTTAATGATGCCATTAAAGCTAACAAATTTCCAATTGTGTATATTCACACAATGGAGTTACTAATTATTGCTTAGGTCAACTGTATTCCCTTTAGATTTTTATATTATCATAAATTGACTTCTAATAAATAATTTCAAATCTTTAAGTATCTAAGTGCACTTATACATTCAATTTACCTACTTTGTAACTATGCCGTATAAGCGTAAATTAAATAACTTTTAACTTCATATAGATATGATATGTTCTACAATAGAATATTATATATTTTTACAATTAGTCATTTTCAGTACCACATATTACTCTCCTTATTTACCGTTCTAGTTTTCGATTTCGAAAAATATTTTGGTGTTGCGTTTAAGACATTTTGAAGTACCATTTTTGACAAATATGGGTTTTTAGATAAAAATAAATATAAGGAGAAATTATGATAGTCCGCCTGACCAAATTAAATGTCCAATGTCACAAAACACTATCAAACCAGGTGTTTACTTCCATATTTTGACTTCAATTTGTTTTTGACCCCTTGTGACTGGTGGTCACCAAATTCATTAGCTGCTTGTAAGTCATTGTAGACGTATTTGGGTAGGCACTATAATGGGACTAGTCCGCCCCTGGTTGTTGGGTTTCGTGCCATGTAGATGTCCATATCGTGATCGGTCCAATTATCAGACGTGTCACAATAGTTATTCAGTGTATGCGTTGAGCCGGCGGTGCTGTACCTGAAATATTGGACATTTTATTCAATTTTTCTATCATTCATTTTCAAATAATAAAATTATGCATACGCATTTTTATTCAAATTTTCTCCAAATCAATGGGCATCTTTAATCCTTCAATTTAAATGCCCGGATAGAATGATTGTAAGAATAAAATTGTTTTGCTATTATAATCAATAGCTATTTCATAATATTCAATTAACAAACTTGATTTTCAATTTCAATTATCCAAAAAATAAGAAGGTTATAGATTTATACAAGTGATTTATCATAATAGATTTAGATTTGCTTTGATATTTAAAAATTCCAAAAGCAATTATACAAAACAATCTAAATTTTATCGAAGCCGCTCTGCATGTGGACTTCTCCATTATATATTTAAGAAATTGTCATGTTAAAAATTTCATTGCAACGGAATAAAAATGATTGTAAAAAAAAAATTGTAAAAAAAATTGTAATTATATTTCTTTATTAAAACCAAAAACTTTCATATAACCCTGCAAAATGTTGCTGAATGGGCCGAATCTAGGCAAAAGACGCTGGGGGACATTGAATATTCAAATATTTTTTAATTAATAGCTTAGGTTCACAAAGTAAACAAAAGTTGTCTGTATTGTGTTGCGGAATATGTTTTCCAATGTAGTTTTTACCGCTGAATATGAATCTAAAGTCAAAATTGGGGGTCAACTGGCAGAAATTGAAAAAAAAACTAAAATAACGACAAAATCTACTGATCTAGAAATTCTTCTGCATAATAATCAAAATATTATAATTTCTGTCGTTTCCTGACTTTCTACCTTAAATGTCAGAGTATCTACCTAAATCATCTATTAAGTTTTTTTTGTAGAATTCAGCAGTAATTTGCAAACATATTTCTTTCCGATTGTCACTGGGTAATCTGCAACCATATTTGCAATTTGAATATCTGAAAATGTGTTGGCAAAATACTGCTGTGTTCTCAAAAAAACTAAATAGATCATTTAGCTGAATACTCTATCATTTAAGGTAGAAAGTGGCAGGAAACGACAAAAATTATAAGATTTTAAGAATTATGCAGAAGAATTACTAAATCGGAGATTTTGTCATTGTTTTAGTTTTTTGTCAATTTTTTGCCATTTGACCCCCAATTTTGACTTTAAACTCGTGTTCAGCGGTAAAAACTACATTAGAAAACATATGCCGCACACCCAATACAGACAACTTTTTTCATTTTGTTGGCCTGTGTAATTATATCAAATATAGTATAATAAACACTGTTAATATTCTTCGATCACTTCCAATATCTCCCAGAATTTGAGACACGATTAATAAGACGACATATCACTGTATAATTTATATTTGATCACTTACCTGCTTCCTGGACGATTATGTGGGTGATTGTGTTGGTCCCTGGACCTCGAACGTGGCCTAGCTCTTCTGCTCCCTTGAGAATTTCCGGAATGCTGGACACCATGCATCGATGCGGGGTACGATGACCGCGACATGCGGTCTGAGGCTGCGGTTAGCGATTGACGCGATTGACGTAATTCTGTAATAGAGCCGTATAATTTCAAATATTAAATATTGCTGAAAAAATATTTATTTGTTTACCTTAATTTAAAGAAGTGATTTTAGATCATTACTATATAATTAAAATCGGGGTTAATCAAGATGGAATTAAAAGAGCAATTTTTTCTACCAAAATGGATAGGCTTTAGCTTCATACCTAACTCTTATTATAAGATCTTTATGATTTTATAGTTAATGATTCCTTTATTGTTCAAGATGAACTCACTATTTCAAAAATATTAAGTTAAAAGTGAGATACTAAATTTGGTTCTAAATAAATATTATAGTATTTAAGTACAGTAGAATCCGCTTAGTATGACATCGAAATCTCGTCATTAAAAGCGTACTGAATAAAAACTTTTTAATATGCAAACATGTTACATGTTTCAGTAATTTAAAAGAAAAGTCTATACATACATTTTAATTAAAAATAAAAATGACACATATTAAAATTTAATATAAAATAAAATTGACATAGGGTAGGGCGGGGCACAAAGGTCCAATTTGACTTACAGTAATTATACTGTCTAAACCCAATGAACGGCACATAACACACATGAAACAAGCATCCATCGAACCATGTACAGAAAAACTTACATACATACGCACATAATTCCTAATTATATAAATATTATATATATAATCAGTAATTTTTTATTGATTTCTTTACATAATTTTATTGTAAAAACAGTCCCTGGTGCTATTGTGCACAAAAGACATAGCAATTGCTTTCGTAGACTTAGCCACATCATGTAAAATCATGTCGTTCATTATAATTGGACATATTTTTTTTTGCAAAAATGGGTCATTATAAGCGACATGTCAATATAAGGGATGTCAATATATCCGACTAGACAGTTGTTTTTTAAGGAATTTTATATGGAAACCAAACTTCCTAGTGCGATTACGTCATAATAAGCGGTTGTCAATATATCTGGCGTCATACTAATCGGATTCTACTGTACATATTTTTACTTAGTCAAATACTTTAATTTAAAACGCCCGCTACATTACCAATATTTATTTAACACATAATGAGCAAAAATTTGAACACAGAATTATGTATTACATCAAATCTATTTTCATTATGAATATTCTATTATCACTGAAAAGCCTTTCACTAGATTAGTAAAACGTCGAATTTTAATGAAGGCGTTTGGTTTAAATTCTTCCTATTTTTTTCAATGTGCTGTTTCCAATTCCGAACTCTTCTTTGGCCGACTGGGTGTTCGATCGCGACGATCAGCAACATGCGTCAAGGCGTTTGCTCTGCGCGGTTCATATTTATACCGGTTGATGTTGACATTTTCATAGTCCATAGCATCTATCATAGACATACTGATACAGGAACGATTTGTTTTAAGTTTGGCTTCTAATACTGATTTGTATAGCGAGGGCTGCGATCCGCAAGCCGACAGTGACGTGTGACTACGGAACATATCTGGCCTGGTCATTTTTGAACCGTTATTTGGTTCTGGATATTTCACAGGAACACCGGGTGGTAGTACCTGATCTTCTGGTATAGTCTGCCTGCTTAAATTGCTCTTAAATTTCAATCCCGGATTTTTGTTATAACCAGGTGCATTCATTGCTTTTTTCTGCGTATGGAT